GTTGAGAATTTAGAGGGTTAAAATGTTGTGGGGTTATTAACCAATGTCATAAAACAGCATGTGTGCTACTGTTACATGAGAAACTATTTGTTCTGTAAGCCTTCACCTGAAGTACAATAAAATATTAAAAAAATAAAAAAGAAGTTAAACATACAATCACCATATGACCCAGCAATTCCGTGTCTAGGTATATACCTCAAAACACTGAAAACAGAGACTCAAACAGACACATATACACCAATGTTCACTGCACCACTATTCACAATCGCCAAAAAGTGGAAACAACCCAAGTGTCCATCAACAGATGAACAGGCAAACAAAATGTGGTACATACATACAATGAAATATTACGCAGTCATGAAGAGAAATGAAGTCCTGATATTCGCTACGACAGGGATGAATCTTGAAAATATGATGCTGAGTGAGAGGCCAGACAGAAGAGGACAAACATTGGAAGATCTTACTTACATGAATATCTAGCATAAGTAAATCCATCGAGACAAAAGAAGGTTAGCTAGGGGATAGGGAAGGAGACTGGTGGTACAGTGGTTAAGCACTCAGCTGCAAACTGAAAGGTTAGCAGTTGGAACACACCAGTGGCTCCTCAGGAGAAAAGACCCGGTAATCTGCTTCTGTAAAGACTACAGCCTAGAAAACCCTATGGGGCAGTTCTACTCTGTCGTATGGGGTTGCTATGAGTCAGAATTGACTCGAAGGCACACAGCAACAACAAGAGGGGGTTGGGGGGAGGAGGGAATGGGGAGATTTAAAAAAAAAACAAAAAACAAGGTCTATAGCACAAGGCCATCTGTATATGTTTAACAGATTTTAATTACACAGAGCAACACTGTGTGGTCTACAAGTGTTCATATGTACCCAAAGATGCATGGATGTTAAATGTGTGGGCGTTTGTCTATGGGGTGCCAGGGAGGAAACGGGCGTGGGGCCAGGAGATTAAAGGGAAAATAAAACAGAAAGCAAAATAGCGACATAGATAAATGATATACAAGAACTGAAAATATGACTCAACGTTATATATCTAACTCCACCCCCTTTAGAAAACTCCATCTTAAAGACTCATTTCTTCTCAGAAGCCTTCCCCAGACCACCTCTCCAAGCCTCCATTGCTTCCCCAGCTAGGATCAGTCATTCCCTCCTCTCAGTTCCCACCAAAGCCACTGCAACCACCATTCAAGAACAGTCTCACTAGATCATGACTGACTGTGCCCACGACTGTCTCTCCAACCAGAGCAGGGAATCAGGTCTGTTCCTCCTCTGTGTGCCTCAGTTTTCCAAATCTTTAGAAAAAAACCCATTGCCGTCGAGTCGATTTTGACGCATACTTACCCTATAGGACAGAGTAGAACTGCCCCATAGGGTTTCCAAGGCTGTAATCTTTACAGAAGCAGACTGCCACCTCTTTCTCCTGTGGAGCGGCTGGTGGGTTCAAACTGCTGACCTTGCAGTTAGTAGCGAAGTGCTTCATCACTACACCACCAGGGTTTCTTGATCTTTAGAAAGGGGATAGTAATCACAGTACCTACCCGCTTGAGTTACTGGGGGTTAAATTAATCAATTCATGTCCTCTGTTTGGCACGGTGATTTTGCCACACTGTAAGCACTCCCTGGGTGGTGCTCACAGTTAAGCACTTGACTACTAACCGAAAGGTTGGCAGTTCAAATCCACCAAGAGGCACCTTGGAAGACAGGCCTGGCGATCTGCTTCTAAAAGGTCACAGCCTTGATAACCCTGTGGAGCAGTCCACTGTGCACACATGGGGTCACCATGAGTCGGAATCGACTCAACAGCAGCTAATAACAACCATACGTGAATGAAGTCCTTGGGTGATGCAATTGGTTAACACGCTCGGCTGCTAGCCGAAAGGTTGGAGGTTCGAGTCCACCCAAACACACCTTGAAAGAACGGCCTGACAATCTACTTCTGAAAAAAGTTAGCCATTGAAAACCCTATGGAGCATAGTTCTACTCTGACGCGCTTGGGGTTGCCGTGGGTCGGAATGGACTCCACGGCAACTAACAACAACAACAAGCACACAATACACGTTGGCTGCTATTATTATCATCATTAATATCATTGTCATTCTTCAGATTGGCCTCAGGAAATGTCTAAGACTTTACCCCCAATGCCTCCTCCTCCAGGAAGCCTTCCCTGACTTCCAGAACAGAGCCCCACCTGCACCTGTGGTACCTCCATTATAGACTCTTCTCCCAGTGTGGACACTGTCTGCTCACCTGTGGGTCTCCCCCATTGGACTGGGAACTCCTCAAGGACCGGGACCAGGATCTGTTTGACTCAGGTTCCTTAGAGCCCAGCATAGTGGCTGGTGTCCCTTGAGCCTCCAGAACTGCCTGCCCACCTGAATGGAATGTAGGCTGAGAGGGCAGATAAGGCAGGTATATAATTAACGAATATATGGCAGGCAGTATATGATAACACCCTGGTGAGAGGGTAGAAACCATACATGGCAAGTGAGAGTCCCAATCTGGTTTCAGCCCACCTTCTGCCTCCTCCCCTACCACTCCCCTGCAGACTCCCTGCATTCCTGATTGTCATACCTGTCCCTGGACCCACCTTTGAGACTTTGCCCATGTAGGCCCCTCTCCTTGGAATGTCCTTCCTTCCCATTCTTCCATTCTCGTTGCTGCCAACGCCATGACCCTGTTGAACCCTTGCAAGCACGACTTTTGATACTAAAGAACAAGGATTCTTTTTTTAAAAAAAAATTTATTTTATTTTTTGTTGTTGAAAATATACACAACAGAACATACAACAATTCAACAATTTCTGCATGTACAATTTAATGACATTGATTACATTCTTCGAGTTGTGCAACAATTTTCACCCTCGTTTTCCGAATTGTTCCTCCCCCGGTAATGAAAACTCACTGCCCCCCAAGCTTTCTATTTAATCTTTCGAATTGCTGTTGTCAGCTTGATCCCATATAGATAGTTCTTTAAAAGAGCATAATGCTCAAGGCAGACATTCTTTACTAGTTAAGCTAAACTTTTGTTTGGTTTAAAGAAGACTTCAAGGGATATTTTTGGTTGACGGTTTCAAGATGATCTCAGGGCAGTAGTTTTGGGGGTTCATCCAGCCTCCATGGCTCCAGAAGTCTGGGTTCCATGGGAATTTGAAATTCTGTTTTGCATTTTCCTCTTTTTGATCAGGATTCTTCTATAGAATCTTTGATAAAAACAGAACAAGGATTCTTAACCTCTGTGTATATGCCATG